AAGTTTATAAAATAATGAGAGGTATAGATAGACTTGATGGTAGTTGTCTTTTCCCTAAAATAGGGAATTTCAAGACTAGGGGCCACATTTTTAAGGTGAGTGGAGAGAGATTTAAAAAGACATGAGGCAATTTTTTTTTACACAGAGTGGTTCGCGTGTGAAATGAACTTCCTGAGGAAGTGGTGGGTGAGAGTACAATTACAATGTTTAAAAGACATTTGGATGGATATGTGGATAGGAAAGGTTTGGAGAAATATGGGCCATGTGCAGGCAGGTGGGACAGGTTTAGTATGGGATTATGGTCGGCATGGACTGGTCGGACCAAAGGGTCTGTTTCTGTTTAGTACGACTCTAAAAGCAGATGAGATCGTTGGATTTCCAAATCAATCCCAAGAGTACAGAAAAGAGGAAGTTATGCTGCATTTTATAAAATTCCAAGTCTCACCCAGTTAATTCACATCACATCCTATAAAGGATAATTAAGCCTTAGAGAGGATGCAGAGGACATGTGCTATGGATTAGGGACTTCAGTAACATGAAAGGATGTTGGAAATTGATTCACTACTGGAGCAACTTTCAAAGAGAATTGGGTAACTACGTGAAGATAAAACTTTGTTGGGCTGAGGAAAGATTGCAGAAGATGGTGGTTAATTGGGTAGCTGTTTCAAACAGCTAGCACATGTGCAATTGGCTGGATATCACATTCATATTTTAAGATTCTCATCTGTCTCAGGATTAATTTTTATTGTGATAGCTGCTGAGTTATGGAGAATAGAATATTCACGAAGCTTCCTGTTTGGTTATCAGGAGGATGTTTCTATGGCAGCCACTGTTCTGGAGATGCTTATGAAGCTGGTGATGTTGATTGGACTGACCATCACAGTGTTTGGATACTCATACTCTCATCTGGCCCTGAATATCTATGGTGGATCGATGCTGAGCTCGGGCCCAGGTATTGCTCTTTCTGTGTGGAGTGCTGTATTTCAACACATCTTTTTGTGGAATGAAAGAGAAGGAATTTGTGCAGCTTCATGAATACCACAACAATTCAGAAGTAATTTTTTAAAATTCATTTTTGTTTTGGGAGTAGGCTAGGAACATCAGTGTTTATCGCCCATTCCCTGATTGCCTTAGAAAACCTGGTGATGCGCTGCCTTCTTGAACTGCTGCAGCCCATGTGCTGTGGGTTGACCCACATTACCCTTAGGGTGGGAATTCCAGGATTTTGACCCAGTGACACTGAAGGATTGGCGATATATTTTCAAGTCAGGATAGGAAGTGGCTTGGAGGGGAACTTGCAGGGGATAGTGTTCCCATGTATCTGCTGCCCTTGTCCTTCGAGATGGGAGTGTTCATTGGTTTGGAAGATGCTGTCTAGGAAGCCTTAATGAATTGTCGCAGTGAAAAGATCGTGAGATAGTTGATGCGTTGGCTTTAATTTTCCAAAAGTCATTTGATTCAGTGAAGGTTCCTTCTGATTGGAAAATAGCTAATGTAACTCCTTTATTCAAAAAGGGATGGAGGCAGACAGCAGGAAACTTCCAGCCTTTTGACTTAACATCTGTCATTGGGGTAATGTTAAAAGCTATTATTAAAGATAGTATAACAGGGTACTTGAATAAGTTCCAGGTAATCAGTCAGAGCCACAATGGTTTTGTCAAAGGAAAGTCATGTTTAAGTAGTTTAGTGGAGCTCTTTGAAGAAGTAACTTGCGCTCCAGATAAAGGGGAACCAGTAGATATATTTTACTTAGATTTTAGCTATGATAAGGTGTATATAGAAAATAAAAGCTCATGTTGTGGGGGGATAGCATTTTATTTTATTCATTCATGGGATATGGACTTCGCTGGTTGGGCCAGCATTTATTGCCTGTTCCTTACGCAAATTCCTTGCTTAAACCTGTACGACTTTCCTCTTTTAAAATGTCTCTTCCAGCTTACCTTTGACCAAGATCCTGTCTCAGTGTCTCCTTATGCCAAATTTTCTTTGATAACATTCCCACAAGAACTTTGAGATGTCATATGATGTTAAAGGCATTATAAAAACACATCATTATTGTTGACGACAGCGCTTCACCTTTTTAACCACTTCATTATCAATGTTATCCAGCAATTGGAAATAAGTTGTGTACCTGCACAAATTCTTTTCCTTAGACTCAGGACAAGGATGATTTCAGCTGTTGACTACATAGTCAAATAATGCATCTGAATAATTCATGCCTTGAATTGACATTGAAGAACACTCACTTCAGGGAACCAATGGACAGTAACATTTACTGCTTAGATAGTTTTCAGCATGGATGTATACCAAGAGGGGGAGAATTGAGAAAAGAAGGTTAAATGTAATAGTTTGCTGTTTCTCTGTAGGTCCAACTCTTTTGCGTTGTTACTGTGTCTACGTACTGCTGCTGGCTATAAATGGAGTGACCGAATGTTTCACGTTCGCTGCAATGAGTAAGGAAGAAGTTGACAGGTAAGTGGCTGAGGCTGTTTGCGAATCTAAATCTAGTTATCAAAATCAGTAAGCTTCTTGAAACATTAATGTCAGCTCTTTATAAATTTATTTCACGTATGTAAAATGAAATAATACTTAAGCACTCTCTTTAAAAGAGAGGGGCATGACAATACACTGGTGGGTAAGATGAAGGAGAATCCCAAGATATTCTATAAGTATGTCGGGGGAAGAAGATAATCGATGTGATTTATATTGAATTGCAGTAAAGCCTTTGACAAGGTGTCCCATGGGAAACTGATAAAGGTAAAAACACATGCAATTCAGGGGAACTTGGCAACTTAGATATAAAAATGGCTTTGTGGCAGGAGACAAAGGGTGATGGTAGAAAGCTGTTTGTGTGACTGGAGCCCAGTGTGCAGTGGTGTACCACAGGGATCAGTGCTAGGTGTCTCATTGTTTGTGCTATCCTTAAATTATGTTGATGAGAATGCAGGGAATGCTAAGTAAGTTTGCGGATGATACCTAACTTGGCCATGTGGTTAATACTGAGCAAGAAGATGTTAGGTTACAGGAGTTTATAATGGATTGGGCAAATGGGCAGATCGGTGACAGACAGATTTCTGAAGAAGGATCCTGACCCAAAATGTCAACTTTCCTGCTCCTCTTATGCTGCCTGGCCTGCTGTGTTCCTCCAGCTCCACACTGTGTTATCAGTGACAGATGGAATTTGACTATGATAAATATGAGTTGATGCACTTTGGAAGAAGTAACAAAACAAGGGGATATTCAAAAAATGGCAAGACAATAGGAAGCTCAAAGGAAGAGAGGGATCTTGGGATGCTTGTCCACAAATCTCTGAAGGTGCCAGGAAAGATTAATAGGCTGGCTAGGAAGGCATATGGGACACTTGCATTTATCAATCATGGCACAGATTATAACAACAGGAGGTTATGTTGGAATTGTACAGAACTTTGGTTAGGCCGCAGCTGGAGTGCTGTGTGCAGTTCTGGTCAGTGCACTATTGGAAGGATATGATTACACTGGAGGGGGTTCAGATGAGATTCACCAGGATATTGCCTGGGATGGAGCAGGTTGGCTATGAAGAGAGGCTGGATAAGATCGATTATGCTAGGGGACACTGTAGTCAGAATCACAGACTGATGTTTCCGTGGCCAACAATGAGACATCGGAATGGTATGTTGCCTCCCTGGTGCCAGGATCAAGTATATCTCAGAGAGGCTGCAGAATATTCTCAAAGTGGATAGCGACCAGCAAGAGGTCAATGTACATATTGGAGCTAATGAAATAGAAAGAGAAAAGGATGAAATTCTGAGGAGAGAATGTAGGAAGCTAGGCAGAGATTCAAGGAACGCTTGGGGGAACTGCAACATCTGTTTATTCCTGTCTGTCGCAAAAGCAAAATGTGTAAGAGGGCCAATCCATGGCTTACAAAGGAAATTAGAGATAGTATCTGATCCAACGAAGAAGCATACAGATTGGCCAAGAAGAATAATAAATCTGAGGATTGGGAGCAGTTTAGAATTCAGCAAAGAAGGTCCAAGGATTAGATTAGGAAAGGGAAAATAGAGTACGAAAATAAGCTTGCAGGGAACATAAAGACTGACACTGAGAGTTTCTATAGGTATGTGAAGAGAAAGAGATTGGTAAAGACAAATGTTGGTTCCCTACAGACAAATGGGGGAATGTGTAATAGGGGACAAAGAAACAGCTGAGGAACTGAATACATACTTTGGTTCAGTCTTCACAAAAGAGGACACAAATCAGATACCAGAATTGTTGGAGGATGCAAAATTTAGTGAGAGGGAAGAACTGAGGGAGATCAATATTAGTAGAGAAATTGTGCTGGGAAAATTGTTGGGATTGAAGGCCGATAAATCCACAGGGCCTGATAATTTACATCCCAGAGCAATTAAGGAAATAGCTCTAGAAATAGTGGATGATTAATGGTCATCTGCCAGGATTCGATAGACTTTGAAACAGACGCTGCAGATTGGAGGGTGGCTAATGTCACTCAAATATTCAAAAAGAGAAGTTGAGAGAAAACAGGGAATTAAAGATCAGTGAGCCTAATATCGGTAGTGGGGAAAATTCTCAAATACATTGTCAAGGATTTTATAGCAGAGCTTGTAGAAAGCGGTGGCATGATCAGACAGAGTCAACATGGCTTGACAAGTCTGTTGGAATTCTATGAAGATGTAACTAGTAGAGTTGACAAGGGGAAGCCAGTCAATGTAGTATCTTTGGACTTTCAGAAACCATTTGACAACGACCCACATAAGAGATTAATGTGCAAGATTAAAGCACAAGGGATAGGGGGAAGTGTATTGAGATGGATAGGAAACTAGTTGGCAGAGAGGAAACAAAGAGTAGGAATTAATGGGTCCTTTTCAAATTGGCAGGCAGTAACTAGTGGGATGTCACAGGGATTGGTGCTGTGACCCCAGCCATTCTGTGATGAGGATGCAGGGATTCTTCAACGTGATCTCGACAGGTTGGGTGAGTGAGCAAATCAATGGCAGATACAGTATAATTTGGATAAACGTGAGGTTATTCACTTTGGAAGCAAAACAAGAAGGCAGGTTACTACCTGAATGGCTGTACATTGGGAGAGGGGAGTGTGCAGTGGGACCTGGGAGTCCTTATACACCAGTTGGTGAAGGTAAGCATGCAGTAAAGAAGGTAAATGGTATGTTGGCCTTCATTGCGAGAGGTTTCGAGTACAGGAGCAGGAATGTGTTCTTGCAGTTATACAGGGCCTTGGTGAGACCACACCTGGAATATTGTGTGCAATTTTGGTCTCCTTTTCTGAGGAATATCGCTCTTGCTCTTGAGGGAATGCAGCGAAGGTTTACCAGGCTGATTCCAGGGATGATGAGACTGATGTATGAGGAGAGATTGACTAGGTTAGGACTGTTTTTGCTAGAGCTCAGACGAATGAGGGGGGAGTCTCATGGAGATTTATAAAATTCTAACACAATCAGACAGGGTAGATGCAGGGAGGATGTTCCTGATGTTGGATGTGTCCAGAACCAGGGGTCACAGTCTGAGAATTCGGGGTAGACGGAGAGGAGGAGACATTTCTTCACCCAAAGAGTGGTGAGCCTGTGGAATTCATTACCACAGGAAGTAGTTGATGCCAAAGCATTGAATGTATTCAACAGGCAACTACATATAGTATTTGGGGTGAATGGGATCAAAGGTTATGGGGAGAAAGCAGGATCAGTCTGTTGAATTGGACGATCAGCCATGATTGTGAAGAATGGGCAGAGCAGGCTCAAAGGGCCAAATGGCCGCCTCCTGCTCCTATCTTCTATGATTCTATGTCTATGTTTCTAAAAGCAGGTTCTCAGCAGTAGTAATATCTGGATTACTGTCAGTGCAATGAGCTAGTGAGAGGAATAGGAGGATAGAGTAGATGAATGTGTGGCTGAGGAGCTGGTGCAGGGGAGAAGGATTTACATTTTTGGATCATTGGAATCTCTTCTGGGATAGAAGTGACCTGTATAAGGAGGACGGATTACACCTGAATTGGAAGGGGACTAATATACTGGTGGGGAGATATGCCAGAGCTGCTCGGGAGGATTTAAACTAGTAAGTGGGAGGAGGGCAGGGAGATGGTGGGGAAAGAGATCAGTCTGAGACAATTGCATTTGGGAAAAGAACCAAGTCAAACAGTCAGGGCAGGCAGGAACAAAGCAGAGAACGAGGTAGGACTAATAAATTAAACTGCATTTATTTCAATGCAAGATGCCTAACAGGTAAGGCAGATGAATTCAGGACATGGTTGGAAACATGGGACTGGGATATCATAGAAATTTCAGAGATGTGGCTCAGGGATGGACAGGACTGGCAGCTTAATGTTCCAGGGTATAGCTGCTATTGGAAGGATAGAAAAGAGGGCAAGAGAGGAGGGGGAGTGGAGTTTTTGATTATGGATAATATTATAGCTGTACTTAGGGATGATATTCCTGGAAATACATCCAGGGAAGTTATTTGGGTGGAACTGAAAAATAAGAAAGGGATGATTGGGATTGTACTATAGACCCCCATTAGACAACAGGAAATTGAGAAACAGGTTTGTAAGGAGATCTCAGTTATCTGCAAGGAAAAAAAGGGTGGTAATGGTAGGGGATTTTAACTTTCCAAATATAGACTAGGACTGCCATAGTGTTAAGGGCTTGGATGGAGAGGAATTTGTTAAGTGTGTACAGGAAAATTTTCTGATTCAGTGTGTGGATGTACCTACTAGAGAAGGTGCAAAACCTGACCTACTCTTGGGAAATAAGGCAGGGCAGGTGACTGAGGTGTCAGTGGGGGAGCACTTTGGGGCCAGTGACCATAATTCTATTAGTTTTAACATAGTGATGGAAAAGAATAGACTGGACCTAAAAGTTAAAGTTCTCAAAAAGGGGCATGAGAAAACCTTGGCAGAAAGGATCAAGGAAAACTCCAAGGCTTTTTACACATACATGAGGAATAAGAGAATGACCGGAGAAAGGGTAGGGCTGATCAAGGATAGTAAAGGGAATTTGTGCACGGAGCCTAAAGACATAGGAGAGGTCCTCAATGAATACTTTTCTTCGGTATTCACAACTGAGAGGGACCTAGTTGTAGAAGAGGACAGTGCGAAACAGGCCGGTAGGCTAGAGGAGGTGGATGTTAATAAGGAAGATGTACAAAGGGTGGTAGTGGATGGAAAATATTCAACATGGTGCTCAGTTACAAGTAGTGTACCACAAAGATCTGTTCTGGGTCCTCTTCTATTTGTGATTTTTGTAAATGATTTGGATGAAGGAGTGGAAGGGTGGATCAGTAAGTTCGCGGACGATACAAAGGTGGGTCGAGTTGTGGATAGTGCGGAGGGCTGTTCGAGGTTACAAAGGGACATTGATAGTAAACGGTAAATGGAAAAGCCCTGGGAAAATTGATACACAGAGAGATCTGGGTGTTCAGGTCCATTGTACCCTGAAGGTGGCAGCGCAGGTCGATAGAGTGGTCAAGAAGGCATACGGCATGCTCTCATTCATCAGACGGGGTATCGAGTACAAGAGTTGGCAGGTCATGTTATAGTTGTATAGGACTTTGGTTCGACCACATTTGGAATACTGTGTTCAGTTCTGGTCGCCACATTACCAAAAAGATGCGGATGCTTTGGAGAGGGTGCAGAGGAGGTTCACCAGGATGTTGCCTGGTATGGAGGGCGCTAGCTATGAAGAGAGGTTGAGTAGATTAGGATTATTTACATTAGAAAGATGGAGGTTGAGGGGGGACCTGATGGAGGTCTACAAAATCATGAGAGGTATAGACAGGGTGGATAGCAAGAAGCTTTTTCCCCCAGAGCGGGGGACTCAATTACTAGGGGTCACGATTTCAAGGTGAGAGGGGAAAAGTTTAAGGGAGATATGTGTGGAAAGTTCTTTACGCAGAGGGTGGTGGGTGCCTGGAACGTGTTGCCAGCGGAGGTGGTAGAGGCGGGCAGGATAGCGTCATTTAAGATGTATCTAGACAGATACATGAATGGGCAGGGAGCAGAGGGATACAGATCCTTGGAAAATAAGCGACAGGTTTAGATAGAGGGTCTGGATTGGCGCAGGCTTGGAGGGCTGAAGGACCTGTTCCTGTGCTGTAATTTTCTTTGTTCTTTGTTCTTGATCAGATGCAGAGCTGGGCTGAGAAGTGGCAGATGCAGTTTAACCCTGAAAAATGTGAGGTGATTCATTTTGGAAGGACAAATTTGAAAGCAGAATACAGGGTTAGCGGAAAGATTCTTGGCAGTGTGGAGGAGCAGAGGGATCTTGGGGTTCATGTCCACAGTTCCCTGAAAGCTGCCACCCAAGTGGATAAAGTTGTTAAGAAGACGTATGGTGTGTTAGCTTTCATTAATAGAGGGATTGAGTTCAAGAGCCGTGAAGTTATGCTCCAACTGTACAAAAGCCTGGTTCGGCCACATCTGGAGTGTTGTGTCCAGTTCTGGTCGTCTCATTACATGAAAGATGTGGAAGCGTTGGAAAAGGTGCAGAGGAGATTTACCAGGATGTTGCCTGGAATGGAGGGAAGGTCTTACGAGGAAAGGTTAAGAGAGCTAGGGCTTTTCTCTTTAGAACGACGAAGGATGAGAGGTGACTTGATAGAGGTGTACAAAATGATCAGAGGTATAGATAGAGTAGACAGCCAGAGACTTTTTCCTGGGGTGGAGGTAGCTATTAAGAAGGGGCATAGTTTTAAAGTGAGTGGAGGTAGATATAGGGGAGACGTCAGAGGTAGGTTCCTTACTCGGAGAATGGTCGAGGCATGGAATGCATTGCGGAGAGGGTAGTGGAGTCGGCCTCATTAGAGGCATTTAAGCGGCTATTAGACAGGCATATGAATGATCGTATAAGGAAGGGGTGGAGGTTAGGTAGACCTTAGGTTTGGGGTAAAAGTTCGGCACAACATCGTGGGCCGAAGAGCCTGTACTGTGCTGTACTGTTCTATGTTCTATGTTCTATGATCAATTGGAGGAAGGCCAATTTTGATAGTAGTAGGCAAGAATTTTCAAAAGCTGATTGGGAGCAGATGTTCATATGTAAAGGGACGGCTGGAAAATGGGAAGCCTTCAAACATGAGATAACGAGAGTCCAGAGACACAGTGTTCCTGTCAGGGTGAAGGGCAAGGCTGGTAGGGAATGCTGGATGACTAGAGAAATTGAGGTTTTTGTCAAGCAAAAAAAGGAAGCATATGTCAGGTATAGACAGCAGGGATTGAGTGAATCCCTCGAAGAATATAAAGGCAGTAGGAGTGTATTTAAGAGGGAAATCAGGAGGGCAAAAAGGTGACATGAGACAGCTTTGGCAAATAGGGTTAAGGAGAATCCAACGGGATTCTACAAATACATTAAGGACAAAAGAGTAACAAGGGAGAGAATGGGACCCCTTCAAGGACAGCAAGGCCGCCTTTGTTTGGAATCGCAGGAAGTGGGGAAGATACTAAACAAGTATTTTGTATCAGTATTTACAGTGGAGAAGGATATGGAAGCTGGAGAATGTGGGGAAATAAATAGCGACATCTTGAAAAATGTCCATTTTACAGAGGGGGAGGTGCTGGACGTCTTAAAATACGTAAACGTGGATAAATCCCTGGGACCTGATCAGGTGTATCCTAGAACTCTGTGGGAAGCTAGAGAAATGGTCACTGGGCCCCTTGCTGAGATATTTATATCATTGATAGCCACAGGTGATGTGCTGGAAGAATGGAGGCTGGCTAATGTGGTATAATATTTAAGAAAGGTGTTAAAGGAAAGCCGGGGAACTATAGACCAGTGAGCCTGATATCGGTGATGGGCAAGTTGTTGGAGGGAATCCTGAGGGACAGGATTTACATATATTTGGAAAGGCAAGGACTCATTAGGGATAGTCAACATGGCTTTGTGTGTGGGAAATTGTGTCTCACTAACTTGATTGAGTTTTTTGAAGAAGTAATGATGAGGGTAGAGCGGTGGACATGATCTGTATGGATTTCAGTAACGTGTTCGACAAGGTTCCTCATGGTAGACTGGTTAGCAAGGTTAGATCGCATAGAATACAGGGGAAACTAACCAGTTGGACACAACTGGCTCGAGGGTGGTGGTGGAGGGTTGCTTTTCAGACAGGAGGCCTGTGACCAGCGATGTGCCAAAAAGAGCAGTGCTGGCTCCACTGCTTTTCGTCATTTAAAAAAATTATTTGAATGTGAAGAAGGTTACCTCCGAGTATAACAGGACCTTGATCAGATGGGCCAATGAGGTGAGCAGTGGCAGATGGAGTTTAATTTAGATAAATGTGATGTGCTGCATTTTGGAAAGGCAAATCAGGGCAGGACTTATACACTTACTGGTAAGGTCCTGGGGAGTGTTGCTGAACAAAGAGACCTTGGAGTGCAGGATCATAGTTCCTTGAAAATGGAGTCCCAGATAGACAGGATAGTAAAGAAGACGTTTGATATGCTTGCCTTTATTGGTCAGTGCATTGAATATAGGAGTTGGGGGGTCATTTTGCGGCTGCACAAGACATTGGTTCGGCCACATATGGAGCATTGCATTCAATTCTGTTCTCCCAGCTATAGGAAGGATGCTGTGAAACTTGAAAGAGCTCAGAAAAGCTTTACAAGGATGTTGTTGAGGTGGGAGGGTTTGAGCTATAGGTAGAGGCTGAATAGGCTGGAGCTTTTTTCCCTGGAGTTTCAGAAGCTGAGGGCTTACCTTATAGAGGTTTATAAAATCATGAGGGGCATGGATAGGGTAAATAAACAAGGTATTTTCTCTGGGGTGTGGGAGTCCAAAACTAGAGGCCATAAGTTAAGGTGAGAGGGGAAAGATTTAAAAGGACTGAGGGGCAATTTTTTCACGCAGAGGGTGGTACATGTATGGAACAAGCTGCCAGAGGAAGTGGTAGAGCTGGTACAGTTACATTTAAAAGGCATCTGGATGGGTATATGAATAGGAGGGGTTTAGGGGGATAAGGGCTAAATGGTGGGAAATGGGAGTAAATTAATTTAGAATATCTGGTCAGCATGGATAATTTGGACTGAAGGGTCTGTTTCTATGCAGTAGAGCTCAATACCTCTAAGCTCAGTTGCTTTGTTTGGAACAGAAGAGGCTGAGTTGAAGATATAAGAGAGTATAAGGGGCATGGACAGGGTAGATAGAAAGCAGTTGTTTGTTGATAGGTCAATAACAAGGAGCATAATCTTAAAATAAAAGGCAGGAGGTTTAGAGGGGATTGGAGGAAAGTGTTTTTCACCCAGAGGGTGGTGGGGGTCTGGAATGCACTGCCTGGGAGGGGAGTGAGGCAGGAAACCTCACAACCTTTAAAATGTACTTGAATGAGCTCTTGAAATGTCATAACATTCAGTGCCTAATGTAGGAAAGTAACACTCGTGTATTTTTATCAGTGCAGACTCGTTGGGCTGAAGGATCTCTACCATATGATTTTAGGATTCTAAGGTTTAGAGTTTACAACACATCTGGTGGTTAGAAACTCAAATGCTTTGCAATTCCATGCTCAGTGTTTAGGCTGGTCAAACGTCAGAATACAATTAATTATAACCTGCAACGTCCTAGCTTCCAGATATCACGCCTCTGTTTGCAAGAATTAACAGTTTCACTTGTTGATTTTCTTGCTGTATGTGGCATGTGTGTCAGTCAAAATCCCGAGGATAAATGTTTCTGACATTACAATAGCAACCACACTTCAGTTCAGGTGCTGAGATCATGAGTTTCTGTAGTAATTGCAAGTCTTCGTTCCTTTATCAGGTACTTCAATATTTTGCCTAATGTTTGATTATTTTATTGAAGGTATAACATTATGATGCTGGCTCTGTCGCTTACCTTTCTTGGCCTTTCCTATTGTTTGACATGGTGGCAAGGAGGTGTTGGATTTATTTTAGCAAACTGCCTGAACATGGGACTCCGAATTGCCCACAGCCTTCAATATATCAGCCATTACTTCAAGCATAGCAAGAATCAGCCCCTCAAGGGCCTCCTGCTCCCTGTGCCTTTACTGCTAGTCTATCTTCTCAGTGGCACAGTGACGGCACTTTCGCAGGTAGGTACTGCAGGGAAGGTGGGTGCAGAAACTCCAATGATAGTCACGATTGTTGAAGGATGATGACCATGTGACACTGACCCTGACCCATGTCCCTGTGACACTCCGGCTCGGGCCCCGGCCCTGGTCCCTGGCCCCGTGTCACAGCAACGCCGGCCCCTGGCCCCGTGTCACAGCGACGCCGGCCCCTGGCCCTGTCATATACCGACAGTGAAACACTAGTACTGACCATCTCCCCCTCCCCACCAATCTGATGACACTGATGCTTTATGTGACATTGTTGTTTTGAAAAAAATTGTTTTGTTTTGTTCGCAGGCTACTTGGAGTAAGCAGTGTCTGATGTCCCAGTTGGTCCATGTTCTACTTGGGGCCTTGTGTTTAACCATCACCATTGTCACAATCTTCTTCACTGAGCCCAGACTTGTTCAGTTTGTTAGAACTCATTTCCTTTCCCAGGACAAGAAAGAGCTGTAGAATTGGGAATGAAACTAGCAGAATGGTGATTCCAAAGACAAAAGACATCAACACCAGAGGTCCTCCAGGGTGATGGATGAAAATTTCACGTTTTAATTGTTATAAAATCACAGAAACTCAAAGTAGTCATGGAATCATCAGCTCCAAATGTGTGGGATGGATTTCACCAGAGATTGGTGATGTTTGCTTATCAATTGGAATATTTGATTGGCAATGCGGGTTCAATACAAGTGAGGGTATTAAGAGAATGATTGCATATAGATGGGATTGATGGCAATTGTTCACTGATTGCATACCATTCAGGGTTTTAGCTCCAATGACAAACAAGCCTGCTGCACTTTGTTTATTGGATAGACTGAGTTTGAATTCTGTTTATCACTTAACAGCCTGCTCTTCATACTTCATGTTTACACAGTACAGATAACTGGAATATAGGGGAGGCGGGAGTTAATGGCATGCATTCCCAATGTGTTGTTAGAATGGAATGTAAAATCAGCAATTGAAGTTCAACACAGATAAATGTGCATTTTGATGGGAAGAATCAGGAAGTCATTTATTACACGGAGGTATGGAACTGGTTGGAGTAAAGGAGCAAAGGGATCCCAGATACAAATACACTGAACACTAAAGAATGTATTGCAGGCATTAGATGCTGCATCCAGAAGGACAGAATTCAAAATTTGAGAAGTTATATTAAACCTGTACTAAACCGTGGTTAGACCACATTTATGAGTATTGTACGAGTAAATAATCGGGTAATTATACTGAGGGATTTCAATTTTCCCAACATAATTTGGGTAGTCATAGCATTAGAGGGGACAATGGAGTTTTTGTATCCATACGTAGAAGGCCCAACAAGGGACGCTGCAGTACTGGATCTGGTTCTGAGGAAAAACTGCTGGACAAGTGTTCGATGTGGCAAATGGGAAAAGATTTAAATGATAGCGACCACAACACAGTACAGTTCAAATTTGTTCTGGACAAGGAGGAAGATGGCCTGCAAAAGATGGCTTTGGATTGGGGAAAGTAGATTTCATTAAAATAAAGCAGGAACAGCTCCTTGTGGATAAGTCCACACAGACCAATGGGGGTCATTCAGAAAGAAGCTGGGGAGAGTACAGGTCCAACATGTATCCTTTAGAGGAAAATGTAGGAGCAATAAGTTCAGAGAATCCTGGATGTATAGGACAATACAGGACTGGATAAAGAGGAAGTGTAGGGCTTTTAGCAAGTACAAAGGGAGCAATTCAGCTGCAGCCATAGAGGAATACAGGAAGTGCAGGAGGGAACTGAAGAAAGCAATTAGAAGAGCAATAAGGGGGCATGAGAAAGGACTTGCAAACAGGATTAGGGAGAAACCCAAGATGGTTTATAAATAGATTAAAGGGACGAGGTTAACCCGGGAAAGAGTAGGGCCATTAGGGACCAAGGGGGTAATCTGTGTGTGAAGCCACAGGATATTAGAAGGGATTTAAATGAATACTTCTCTTCAGTCTTCACTCTGGAAAAGGAGAACATAGGTACGGAATTCAGGAAGAGGGACTGTGAGGAAGTTGCACAGTTTTACATAGGAAATGGGGAAGTATTGGAGATTCTGACGGGCTTAAAAATAGACCAATCCCCCTGGCCTGGATGAACTCCATCCCAGGCTGCTGAGGCAAGAAATTGCAGGGACTCTGACACAAATTTTTAATTCTGCTTTGGCCACAGGGGAGGTGCCAGAGGATTGAAGATTGCTAATGTGGTTCCACTTTTCAAGAGGTGTGGTAGAGATGAACCAAGAAATTACAGACCGGTGAGTCTCATGTCAGTGATAGGGAAAGTATTGGAGAAAATTCTGAAGGAGTGATATAATATGCACTTGGAAAGGCCTGGGTTAATTAAGGTTAGTCAATATGGCTTTGTCAGAGGGAGGTCATGCCTAACAAATCTGTTAGAATTGTTTGAAAATGTGATCAAGTGTGTGGATGAGGGAAGTTCAGTTGATGTAGTTTATACGGATTTTAGCAAAGCTTTTGACAAGGTCCCAAATGGGAGACTGATTGAGAAGGTTAAAGCACATGGAATTGAGGGTAAATTGGCAAGATGGATCAGAAACTGGCTTAGCAATAAGACATAAAGGGTAGTGGTAAAAAGCTGTTTGAGTGCCGGTGTCCAGCGGTGTACCACAGCAGTCAGTACCAGGATCCTTATCTGGTTCTGAGGAAAAACTGCTGGACAAGTGTTCGATGTGGCAGTGCGGGAACATTTAAACATTAGCGACCATAACACAGTACAATTCAAATTTGTTCTGGACAATGAAGAAGATGGCCTGCAAAGGATGGCTTTAGATTGGGGAAAGTACATTTCATTAAAATAAAGCAGGATCTGACCACAGTAAACTAGGAACAGCTCCTTGTGGATAAGTCCACACAGAGCAATCTAAATGATACAGATGAAAATGTGGGCGGAATGCTGAGCAAGTTTGCACATTACACCAAGACTGGTAGAGTGGTTAACAGCGAAGAAAATGGTTGTAGGTTACAGGAAGATATAGATGGGTTGGTCAGATGGGCAGACCAGTGGCAGATGGTATTTAACCCTGATAAGTGCAAGGTGATGCATTTTGAAAGAAGAAACAAGGTGAGGGAGTATTTAATGAATGGCAGGACACTGGGTAGCTTAGAGGAACAGAGGGATCTTGGGGTAATAATTCACAGATCCTTGAAGTTGGCAGAGCACGTGAATAGGATAGTTAAGAAGGCACATGGGACACTTGCTTTCATCAGTCGTGGCATAGAGTTTAAGAGCAAGGAAGTAATGTTGGTATTGTACAGAGTATTGGTTAGGACACAGCTGGAGTACTGTGTACAGTTCTGGTCACCTCAGTACAGGTAGGACGTGATAGAAGTGGAGTGGAGTGGGTATGGAGGAGGCTCACCAGGATGATGGACAAATGATGATGGACAGCAGCCTGGGATGGACAAATGAGCTGTAAGGAGAGACTAGATAGGATTAGATTGTTTTTATTAGAGCAGAGAAGACTGAGGGGAGTCATGATAGGGGTGTATAAGATTATGAAGGGTATGGACAGGGTAAATAGAGAGCAAATATTCCCATGGTTGAAGGGTCAATCGCACCAGGGCATAGTTTTAGGGTAAGGGGCAGGAAATTCAAAGGGGATTTGGGGAAAAAAAGCATTTTCACTGAGCGGGTGATGGGAATCTGGAATGCACTGCCTGGGAAGGTAGTGGAGGCTGGAAACCCTACAATCTTTAAAAAATATTTGAATGAGTACTTCAAATATCATAGCATTCAAGAATATGGGACAAGTGCAGGAAACTGGGATTAGTGCACTTTTAGTGGTAGTTTGTGCAGACTCGATGGGCTGAAGGGCCTTTTCTGCACTATATGAATCGATGAATCTTTGTAGGCAGTCTGGTCACCATCTTATTAAAAAAAAATCTAGTGGCACTGGAGAGGGTCAGGGAAGATTTATGAGGATGATGCCGGAAAAATCGAGGAAGGATTGACCAGTTGGGTCTGCTTTCTCATGGGAGAAGGCTGAGGGTAATCTAATGGTGATCCTTAAAATGATGAAAAGTTTGATCGCATGGATATAGAGAGAATGTTTCCTCTTGTGGGGAATATCAGAATGAGAGACCATCAGTATAAGAGAGTCATTGAGAAATCAGGAATTCAGCAGAAATGCCCTAACCCGGAGAGTGGTGAGAATGTGGAACTCCCCCGGACAGGGAGTTGTTGAAACAAATTGTGTTCATAATCATAAAATTATTACTGCCCTGAATTAGACCATTTAGGCCATTGTATCTATCTTACCTTCACCCTATAGGCCTGGACATTCATGACTTAAATAACCTTATCCAAGCCCTTCTCAGCCTTTTCTTCTCCAGAGAAAATACTGTCAACTTCTCCAATTTATCTATGTAACAGAAGATTCTCATCACCAGAACCATTCTTGTAAATCTCTCCAGCACCCTCTCCAATGTCTCCACATTGTTCCCAGTTCTCCAATAGCTTAAGGAAGGTTGGACATTTTGGCTGGTACCTCAACAAATTCTGCTGTCTTTTTCCTCAGAATCCTTTACTGCATCTTATCTGAACCTGTTGTCTTATGTACATTTAAGTGCAGCCTATCCATAGGTTCCTCCTTATTTATTTTGAAGCCTTTAAGTGCATGACAGCTTCCTGTTTCACCATAACATGGGCAGCAGCATCTTCCTTGGTAAAGAGCGAGCATATTTAATACCTCAGTTGTGACACTTCACTCCATATATAAATTCCCTTGTTGGTCACTAATCAATCCCATTCTCCTTGCACAATCCTCTGACTATTTCTTTATGTACATGTAAAATTTTTGTTCTTTGCACTTAACATAAAAGGGAAGCCAATCTTTCCCTTTCTCGTTCCTTACTTGTTTTTATTTAGGTCCCCTCCAAACTTCTATGCTTTGTCTGGTTCTTAATGCTATTATTTCACCCCTCTGTCTAAACACAATTTTTCTTCTTCATCTTATTCTTACTGTG